ATATATATATTACTATAACACAGCAACACTAGAGGACATGCAACGGCAGAAGGCAGCAAAATAGAAACTTTGGGGCAGGAGTAAAGCAACAGAGAATAACATAGGGAAAACAACCCTGATTAGTAGGATGGTATGGGTCAGTCACTGTGCAGAGAGTTGACAATGAAAGAAGGGGACACTTCAAAGTGATTCATACAGGGAGCAGACAACATGCAGTAAGCTTAAAGCGTGCACCAAAGCCAAAGTTCTTTGAGAATCCTACACCGAATGCAACCGGGCAGCATGTCTATTGCACCATAGGTACGATAAATAAGGAAAAACACCAGTGTTTACCACTACAATATCCAACAGAAAGCTAAGCAAAGGCAACCATGTTATATAATACTCCCTCCATCCCAAATTACTTGTCTTAGATTTGTCCAATCAATCTAAGACAATTAATTTGGGACGGAGGTTGTATGTATGTAAGAATGTGCGTGAATGACATCAATTAAGAAAGAAGTTCTTTGAGAATCCTACATGGAATGAAAAACCAGGCAGCATGTCTATTGCACCATAGGTACGATAAGTAAGGAAAAACACCAGTGTTTACCAGTAACGTATCCAACAGAAAGCTAAGCAAAGGCAAGCATGTTATATAATATGTAAGAACGTACGTGAAAGATGTCATTTGAATATTAAGGGAGCTTCTTGTAGCCAGTTACCTGTTCGCCTTTTGAAGGTATTTGGAGAAGACAGTTGAAAGTTGGGTGGTATTAGAGAACTTGTCTTCTACATTCACATCAGTACATGACTGCAGATCCGCATGCTTCATGTCAACCATGATCATCCACTCCTTGCCAGCAAATTCCTTCGCCCTCAGCAGGCAGCACAGAACACCCGGGTCATCCATGCTGATGACTGGGAACTCAGGAAGACGCCAAGGTAAGCTCAGACCTCGGTAACGAGGTTGTGCCCAGAGACAATCCAGGTTGATCTCACAATGCACCTCCCACTCGAACTTGGAGTTCAACGTCCAAATGGTGATTTTGTGGGTTAGCTGCTTCTGCCGCCGTTTGCTTCTCTTAGGAGCAATCCCTCGCCAGCCACTGTGGACTGTCTGATGAAAGTCATTGTCAATATGGACATAGCGCATCATGCCTTGGCTGATGGACACACTTCGGAACCTCCCTGGGAAGCACCTCGGGAACCGTGCGTCATCAGGGTATTTGATTCCTCCAGGAAAAGGCACGAAGTGGAGCACCTGGGAGTCCACATTTTTGGAGAAGTCGCATAGCACAACGCCGCTGAAGTAGTCCACCCAGCAAAGGAAACGGCCATCGAAAGCAAACACATCATCGGTCCACCAGAGGTCAGGGAGCTTATCAGCAAGCACCTCGGGGATGATTCTCCACTCGTTGGCGCCGGAGTTGAAGACACAGAGTTCAGCACTAGCGCCCTTTTTCTTGGGGCGGACATTGAGGTCGGCAACGATGTAGCAGTGCTCCGCTTCGAGCTGCAGAATGCCGGTGGTGAACTTATGAGCCAGGAACTGCTTTGTGCTGCGCCGAGGAAGCTGCTGCACCGAGAGGGGAGGAGCAGAGGCCGTGTAGACGAACAGATCTGGCGGAGCGTCCTCGTAGCGAATCGGGTCGGGGATCGCGATGTCGAAGAGGACAAGGTTCTTGTCGACTGCCCGGACGAAGGCAACGAGTTCTTCTGAGCCTTGTCTCTCCGGCCAATGGAGGTTGAAGTAGGAGGAACCTGGAGGAGCTGCGAGGGTGAAGGAGACGAAGCAGGAGTGGACGCTGTCAATCTTGACTGGAGCGGCGGTCTTGTTCTTGTTGACGGCCTCACCAGCAGCGTCTAGGTCGTCGTGGCACCGTTTGCGGAAGATGCGTTCCAGCATCACCCAATCGGGGAAGACGACGGTCTCCTCCTCCGGCTTTGGGGCGCCTCCGGTGGCCATGGCGATCGCGATCGGAAATAAAGCCGCCGCCGCCGCCCTAACCCTAACCCTAGTTTTTGGTGGAGGAACTAGTGGAGGGGGAGGAAGGAAGGGCGACAGACTCAATATTATACCGTCTCATTGGGCCACAGACGCTAGAAGGGGCGGCTCATTGGGCCAGGAACTCAGTCGCACGCACAAGCGAACGAAGCGGGCCGTCTCGTTGATGTCCCTTTTTTCTGAAAGAAGTCTATTTTTCACCCTTAAATGTAGCCTGAGGGACAAATACCCCCCTGAACTCAAATTTGGTATGATCTTAACCCCCAATTCCTTAAAACCGGGTAAATCTCCCCCTTAGGTGGTTTTGCATCAATTTTAGGCGGTTTTGGGGCCAGAAAGTGTGACATGGCATGATCAAAACTCTATCTGCTCGCCTCCTGATGCACGTCGTCTGCCACGCGACGGGCCGGCCGACTTCACCTTCTAGCAGGTTCCTTTAAACGGTATTTTTTTTAACCAAATTTCCAAAAAAAAATCTGTTTGCTTTTTTTGTTTCGGTTTCTTTTCTGATTCTGATTCAGTTTCATTTTTTTTCTTATATTTTTATTTTACCATTTTGTTTTTATTTTATATCCTTTGTTTTCAAAAAATGTTTAAAATTCCAAATTTTGGTAGTGATTTTAGAAAAAGTCAAGGTTTTTAAATTTTGTTCACAACTCAAACAAATTCGGCGTATATCACACAAATGTTCATTGTGTATTGAAATAATGTTCAACGTATATCACAAAAATGTTCAATGTGTAGTTAAAAATTGTTCAGAGTATATTACAAAAAAATTCAACATATATTAAAATTTTGTTCTGGGTATATCACAAAAATATTCACTGTGGAGTTCAAAATCGTTGTGCGTATATTATATGTATTTAAAAATTGTTTTGCATGTATTACAAAATGTTCGATGTATATTTTCAAAAAAATATTTTTTTAGGAATTTCAAAAATTTTGTTCATCTTTTCAATAATTGCTCAAGTTTCAAAAGTTTGTTCGAATTTCAAAATGTGTTCACATTTTTTGGAAAAAAATGTTCATGGTTTTAAAAATGTATTTGCGTCTGTCAATTTTTGTGCAGAATTTTCCATTTATTTTATTGAATTATTCGTGAAAACTTGAAAGGTGTTCGATACTTTAAACTCTTGCACTGCATACAAATCACTAGATTTTGCCAGCTTCATTGGTCAGGTTCTTCACTTCACGAGCGGAGCGTCACGAGTTCGATCTCTCGCTGGCTCGGGTCTTTTAGGCCATTTTTTTACGTGCTCGAGTACTTAACCTCTAAATGGGCTAGCCCACATGTGTGTACCTTAAGCTTGATGCTAGTGGGCGGCGGCCCAATATTGAGCCACCTGGCTCACCCGCTCGCTTGCTTTCACCAGCTAGGTTTTCTCTTTGTTTGTCTATCTAAAAGAAGCTACTCCCTCCATCCCATAATATAAGATCGTTTTGCAACCAAAGACGGCTTGCCAAACAATGTTATATTATGGGATGGAGCAATTAGTTTTCTTCTGATTTATTTTCGGTAGTTGGTCGAAAAATTCCTTTCGGTTTTTTTATAGTACTTTCAAAATAATTGTAAGATGAAAAATGTCGAAAGATTTGAAAACAAATCAAAAATATAGAGAAAAGTTTGTGAATTTATAAAAAGTTCACAGAATTGAATAAATGTTCCTCAATTAGTGGATTTTAAAAAGTTCAAGCATTTGAAAAAAGTTCGTGGATTTGAATAAATGTTCATGATTGTGGATCTTAAAAATGTCATGAATTTTAAAAAAGTTTTTGAATTTTAAAAATATTCATGAAATTTGGAAAATTCACGAATTTTAAAATTTTAAAAGCACTCTAAATGGGCTAGCCCACATGTGTGTACCTTAAGCTTGATGCTAGTGGGCGGCGGCCCAATATTGAGCCACCTGGCTCACCCGCTCGCTTGCTTTCACAAGCTAGGTTTTCTCTTTGTTTGTCTATTTAAAAGAAGCTACTCCCTCCATCCCATAATATAAGATCGTTTTGCAACCAAAGACGGCATACCAAACAATGTTATATTATGGGATGGAGCAAGTAGTTTTCTTCTGATTTTTTTCGGTAGTTGGTCGAAAAATTCCTTTCGGTTTTTTTGTAGTACTTTCAAAATAATTGTAAGATGAAAAATGTCGAAAGATTTGAAAACAAATCAAAAATATAGAGAAAAGTTTGTGAATTTAAAAAAAGTTCACAGAATTGAATAAATGCTCCTCAATTAGTGGATTTTAAAAAGTTCATGATTGTGGATTTGAATAAATGTTCATGATTGTGGATCTTAAAAATGTCATGAATTTTAAAAAAGTTGTTGAATTTTAAAAATATTCATGAAATTTGGAAAATCAAGAATTTTAAAATTTTAAAAGTTGAGACTTTGAAAAAAGTTCACCAGATTGAAAAAGATCATAAATTTTAAAACAATGTCATGGGCTTGAGAAAAGTTCACGGATGTGAAAACAAGTTCATGAACTCTTAAAACTTCACAAGTTCAAAAAAGTATGCAGGATTTAGAAAAAGTTCATGGATTTTAAAAAGAGTTCACAAACTTCAAAAAGTTAAAGGGTTCAAAAAAATTGTGAATTTGAAAAAAGTTCACGAATTTCAATCATGATTTTGAAAATTGTTCGTGGGTTTGAAACAAGTTAACAAACTCAAAAAATCATGTATTTGACAAAAAGTTCGCAAACTTGTAAAAGTTCAAGGGTTCAAAAATAGTTCATGGATTTAAAAAAACATCGATTTTGAAAAGAAAACCGTTGATTTTGGAAGTATGAAAAAAGTTTGCGAAGTTGAGAAAAACTTAATGGATTTCAAAGAAAATAACCATAGATTTGGAAAAAAAATCATCGATTTTGAAACAAAAGTTCATGAATTTTAAGAATGTTTTTCATTTGAAAATAGTTTGCGCGTTTGTAAAAGAAAAGGAAAAAGAATTTGAAAATAGTTCATGAATTTGACCAAAAATGGATTTGAAAAAAGTTCACATAATCAAAAAAACTCACAAATTGTAAAAACAAAACATGGATTTGGACAATATTTGTGAATTAATAAAAGATAGAAAAGAAAGAAATTAGAAAGAGAAATGAAAAAAATGAAGAAAAATCAACCAAAGAGAAAAAAAAACTAGGAACGCACTGCTTTTATTTTTAGCGTTACATTTACCTTACGAGAAGTGGAAAGGGAAGCAAGTTTGCATAAAAAAGAACTTTTCGAGTTGGTTACCGTGGCTTGAACTAACGCTGAGGAACCGCCTACCTGATAACTTACGTACAAACATCGTGATGACATTGACCAAGGGGAAAAGGTTGTTGAAAAACATACCGCTGGTAAATTATGTGAAAATAGCATGTTAATATATGAACCGAATATGTGATAACTTACATACAAACACCGTGGTAAGATTGACAAGGGGGGATTGTTGAAAAATGTACCCCAGCAACTTATGTGAAAATAATATGTTAATATACGAACCACATACCAGTTGACTTACGTGCAAACACCACGATAACATTGACCAAGGGGGAAAAGTTGTTGACAAACATACCCCAACAACTTATCTGAAAATAGCACGATAAATTACATATCATATGTGTTGTAAATTATGTAGCCCATGCGTGATACCTTTTGAGCCCCCCAAAAAAGTTGTCGGAACATATCAACATGAGATATAGTATCAAAGGTCTCATCATGATGAATTCTTTATGTGAAAACAATTTTGAATCAAATTGACAGTTTGTGCTACAAAACATTTTGAATTTTCAAATTATAATTAGAGAGAGAAATGCATGTGGGAGGAGCAGAGGATTATTCTAATGCATGCATGCATGTAACAAATGGGGAGGATGGAGGTGTTTAAGCTTAACCACCACACATTTTGTGGTTATCAGGGTCCTAAAATATATGGTCATACTATATACATTTGATGTTGTGTTTATTAGTAAGTTTTCTCATAAAGTTGGTCAAACTTAATGAAATGTTATTTAAGATAAACCTAGAACTTCAAATATTTTATAATAGAGGGAGTGGCCATTAGCATCCTTAACACCAAAAACCAGATAAATTTGACCCCTCACCCAACTCTGAGTGGTTTGACCGACAACATGGTGGTGGTTTCCAACTCATGGCAAACCCACCCACACTATATTCATCAAAAAGTGGAAGACGAATGACACTTAAAAGCCTGAATATATATTAATAACAACAATATAAATTAGAAAATAAAACATGATTTTATTTTGATTTCCCTAGATTCCAAAATGGATCTTGTTTATAATAGAAAATTTCAATATATAATAAAAAACAAGAATTTTTTTATGAAAAGGGAAAAAATCGAAAGCTATCAAGAACGACCAAAAAAATAAAATTCATCGATTTCCAATGATTTTCCTTCATTTTAAACTTATCTTTGTCAAACTATCATTAATTCTAAAATCCATTTCGTAGTTTTTCTAACTTAATTTAATTTGTATGTGTTGACTAAAATATCATATTTGGGAAATTACTACTATGTTTCTCATCCTTAATGTCCACTTTGATGGACCTGTGATATCTCAAAGGCGGCCATCTGTCCAAATTACATTTTCTCACATGATAGCATGCCCAGCACTTCAAGACAAGTTACCTCAACAAACTTTTCTAAAAAATACCAATTGGGCTGCTTGGAAAAGATGCAAACACAAAAATTGCACCATGAATTCACAAAGAGAAAAGTATAAGTTCATTTCTCCTTCCGCCACCGATGAACACCACTTTGTTTTTCCCTGGGTTGTTTTTTATGGAGCTTTGTAAAGGGATCTGCCATAATACCATATGAAGCTTTAGTTGTACTGAATGTCCTCACAAGACTAAGTATAATCCAATAAAAATGCACTATACCAAGATAAGCAAGAACCTATAAAGTTAGGCAAGACCATATTCTTGTTACATTTATGATAGAAAAAATAGAG